GCGTGGAACTTTGTATTTGGAAAATTTGTAACTGTCTAATAAAAAAATATTAACTCTAATCAAATCAGACATATTCAGTAAGTGTAACAAAAGTAGACCGAAGTAAACATTGTGACCATTAGTTTTTTACATAATTACCATCATCATTGGATCTCATATTTGAAAAACGTAAAAATGGTAGCTATATGCAGTATCATTGAATAATTACTTGTGAAAGTTACTGTTAAATATGATTCTGTGTATTTCTGTCACGTGAAAGAACGATGGCAGTACTTTGTATTACATTTTTTTTGTATTCTCAGTAACATCATGAATTTATCTTATTTTATTACGTGAATTATTTGGACCTCGTTGTGCCTGAAACAAATGCAAGAATTGTATTTATTTCTGATCACTTTCCTCTCTACATTTAAGAATATTTCTAAATAAAGAAATATTGTTGAAAAGTCTAAATAAATAAAGAAAATTGTTGTTGAAAAGTCATCCATGTGAAAAAAATTGTTCTTTATTTACCCAAAGGAACAATTTGTGGTTGATATGTATATGTGCACAATATATGAATTATTTCCACAGGTGTAAATTATAATTTTTACACGTGTAGACAAGACGTAAATAAAGACAAATATATTTTACAACTAAATAAACGTTTTTTTTTCAATACTACGAAGACTATAATTACTATGAACTGATAAAGTCATAGTGATGTGCTAGCCAGAAAATTATTTTGTAATAGAAAACAAATATGACAAAAATACTCACCTGTAATAGCAAAGACTTTCCTTTTCCACGTGTTATTTTGACTGAAACTTATCTTAACCAGCTGTCAAAGCTATCAACCAACAAATATTCAAGATCGATTCTTTCTAGGATAAAAATGAATAAATATTTACAAATTTATGTCAATCATATATCCTTGTAACTGTATATTAATACCGCAAGTGTCCCATCTTTTACAGTTAGACAATAATACTGACGATTAGATCATATAATTCTGAAAAAAAGTCACAGGAGGCTTAAGCTGCCGGATACAGAAAATTTAACCTGTATTATAAGCGTTGGTTAATAAGCAGTAGCAGTATTACTGTAATATTATTCATTAACTTCATATATTTAATCTCTCATGTATATTAGTTTAACAGACCCCGCTGCTTAATTTCAATAAAGGATATGCAAAGGGAATTCAGAACACATACGATAAGAATTTTGTTTTATTAATGTACAAACGGACAGCATTCCCAAATTTTTTTTTTTTTTTTTTTTTTTTCCCTTAATTATTCGGAATTTCACTGTTCAATTTAGTTTGAATTATTCAAACATTTCGCAGAATAATAATGATTATGGTTAGTAATTTACATGTACTGGGAAAAGAATACGAGATTTTGTTTTCTCCTTTTTTTCTCATTTCTGCTTGTAGTTATTTCCCCCTTTCCTCCTTTCCTTCTTCCTTCCCCTTCTCATCTTCTCCGTCTTTCCTTACAGTCCTTGAAGCTTCTCCTGAGTCTGCCTGAGGCTCCTGACGGTGACGCAGCGGCGCTCTAAAAGCTGATGGTGTGTTCCCTGTTGAGGATGTCCTTGGAAAAGTCCTCGTGAAGGCGGTGCAGCTCCTCCAGCGTGTCCTCGCTGGTCCTCAGGCGCTGGCGAAGGGATTCGATGCTCTGGGGCAGCTCGTCAAGTTCGTCCTTGAGTCTGCGGGGGAAGGGAATGATAGGGGGTGGGGGATATGGGTTGGAATTTGGAGGGTGGGTGATCCCCTGCGTGTTCTTTTCTTTTGTCTTCTCTCTCTCTCTCTCTCTCTCTCTCTCTCTCTCTCTCTCTCTCTCTCTCTCTCTCTCTCTCTCTCTCTCTCTCTCTCTCTCTCTCTCTTCTCTCTCTCTCTTTTCTCTCTTCTCTCTCTCTCTCTCTCTCTCTCTCTCTCTCTCTCTCTCCCCCTCTCTCTCTCTCCTCTCTCTTTCCTCACATCTCAACCTTTATCACTTCCTCCTCCTTACCTCATTTTTCCCTTCGTATTCCCTCTCAAGCTCTCCCGTTCCACTCCCTCCCCTTCCCTCTTCCCCTCCCTTCCCACCCCCTCCTTCTCCCTTACCTGTAATGGGGTTGATCTAGACAGCGGTCCGCTCCGGGTCTGAAGGAACGAGTCCAGTGGCGGCTTTGGGCCACCTGCAGCGGCGACTCCTTGTCCTGCAGACTCTGGCGAATTGAGGCGATGCTGTTCTCCTCCTCCGCTATTTCCTTTCGCAACTGTGGAGGAGAAGGAGGGGTAAGAGGAAAGAAGATGGGAGGGAGGAAAGATGGATGTTATCGTTGATATTTGTTGTTTTCTTTTTTATTGGCCTACTTTTGTATGTTAGGAGGTTTCACTTTGGGTATATTTGTTTACAATGGCAGTTTTACTTTATTCTATGAAACTCTCATCTTAAAGGGTCAGTTAAATGTCAACGTAAATTATGTATAATGATAAAGAAAAAACACTATAATAACGAACAATGAATACGCCAATCATTGGAACGCAAAGTCAAAGAAAACGGTACTAATAATAGAAAACGGGAAGATAAGGGGTTACCATTCCATCTTTGGTGACGAGCTTTGCTTTGGCTTCCTCAAGTTCTCTCAAACGGGTGTTGAAGGCAACGTCCGTAGCTTCGGCGGCCGCTTCGGAATCTCTTGCCACCTCTCTCAGCGCCTTCCGGAGGAGTTACCATGCAAATAGTACATACTGGTCATCATACTACGATCTAGAATATAATTAATGCTAATTCTATATCATTCTAAAGATAGCAGCCATGTACTTGTACTAATCATGTTTATATGAAGAACCATAAAATTTTCATGATAACAAAGATACACAAACCACACACATACCCACCGTTACCATCATTCGTACCGCCAATATACCTTAACTCAATTCCACACACCCTTTACATCAATAACTCCCCCCCCCTCCCTCGCTCCTCCCTCTTCATACCCCTTAAAGGCGCGGTTCAAGTGGCCTTGCCTTCGTTTAGGACCTGACTAGTGGTCGAGTGCCCGGCCAGGCGTAGTGCTTGAACTGTGAAAAGCACCGCCGTAATAGACCGCACATGCCTCTCGCTTGAATAACACCGCGCATAGTACTTCTTGTTTGAGAAACATGGAGCACAAGGATTTATTCCCCGTTTTCGCCGTTGGTTCGTGTTTCGTGACATATATCTTTTGAAGGAAAAAGGAGAGCGATTTACTGATTCAAAATTATTAACGTTAGTCTGACAGGCCGTCGACGCGAGTGTAGATCCTGTTTCAAAATAGCCATTTCTTCCTGTTTATTTGTATTTGGCAATAAAATATGAATTTTGTGGAAACTAACTAAATGTAAATATAACTTTTGTTGACTTTATAGATACTTTAAGCTACTGATAATATCTTAAAGCGAATTACAGACAATGGTTTTAACTGCACCCTGGAAAGATACCCAAGGTCCACTGGTCTTGTATACCCCAATCAACCCCCCTTAAATACAACCCCCACCCCTAACCAATCGGCCCCTAATCAAACACGAACCAATCACCGACCTGGTCCGACGCGCCCCTCAGCTGAGTGCCACTCGTGATTTCCCTCCGACAGACGTCCATGTGCTGTGCGCTGCGGAGGCGCCAGCTCTCGGGGGCGGAGGTTCCTTCGTGGAGGGCGGCGGAGACTGGCTGTGGAGGGAAGGAGGGTCAGATCGAGGGAGGGAGGGAGGAGGGGAGAGGGAGGAGGGAGGGAAGGAGGGAGAGAGGAAGGAAAGAGTTAGGGAAGGAGGGTGAGATCGAGGGAGGGAGAGAGGGAGGATGGGAGGGAAGGAGGGAGAGCGGGAGGGAAAGAGGTAGGGAAGGAGGTGAGAGGGAGAAAGAGTTAGGGAAGAGGGTGAGATTGAAGGAGGGAGAGAGGGAGGGAGGGAGGGAAGAAAGGAGGGTGAGAACGTGTGGGAGGGAAGGATGGAGGGAAAGTGGGAGAAAGGAGGAAGGGGTGGTACCGAAGGGGAGGAGAAGAATGGTACTATTACTATCATATTAATCACATCTGTAATCTTATTATAATTACTACAATTATCACATTCATTTCTAATAGTACCGTTCTTATGGTTTTATCATATCCCGTATCGTTACCAAACCAACTGTTTAAAGCAAGATTACATATTTTACGTACTCATTCTCATTAGCATACCCGCCCCTTACCCTACCCCCCCTCCCTCCCTTCCATCCCTGCCCACCAACTCGTACTCCCACTCACCTTAAACTGTGCCTTGACAGCGTGGTTGACAAGCTTGGCTGCCGAGTGGTCGAGCTGAAAGGCCTCCTGCTTGTCCGACCAGTCGTGCTCCAGCAGTCTCTTTACCTCCAGCAGCCTCTTGATCTGGGCTTCCGTCTCCTGCAGCGTCTGCGTTAGGAGGGCGCGCCCGGCTCGCAGCACCTCGGTCTCCTGGAAGTTGGGAGGGGAAGTAGAGAGGGTTGGGGAATGGAGATGCAGGGGCGTAGGGAAGGATGTGAGGGGAGAAGGGGGTTGGGGAAAGGAAGAGAAGTAGTGGCTTAGAAAGGGGGAGGAGGGTTGGGGAAAGGAGGAGAAGGAAGTAGTGGCTTGGAAAGGGGGGAGGGGTTGGTAACGAGGTGGGTGGGTGATAAGGGGACGGGTGGTCAGGTATGGGGGAGGGGATAAGAGGAAGGGAAGGGCGTAGAGAGAAAAAGGACGGACAGAGAATGATGTTGATGCATTGATGGCGACAACAGTGATCATGGGACAATACATTTAACAAGTGGAGAAGACATCTAACAATCACATCGATATCCGCTTACCTTTGAACTCTTGAGTATCAGTGAGTTTGACTAAAATATCTCTTGCAAGTTACAGAGCATTACCTTGGTGAGCGTCTGAGTGACGGGGTCTCGCGTGCGGTCGACTCCCCTCCTGAAGGTGCGGATGTGGTGGCACTCCTCGTTGTTGCGCTCCGGCAGCTCCAGGGCGAAGAGTGCCACCTGAGAGTAGCAGGC